AGCGACTCTTGCGTGGTGAAAGAATCTGCTGGCTCTGACTCAGAAAAGCAGAATGATGTCCTCGAAAGCCTGACTCAGGCATTTGTACAGACCAACGATAAATCTCCTGCCATAACAGAGAACGTTGCCAGTCTAATTGATAATATGGCTTCTGGAGGTCTTTCACCAGAAACGGTGAAGGAAAGAGTTGATAAATACCCTCCACCAGAAAACTGTAAGTTCCTGTGTACTACAAAAATTAACGAGAAGGTTTGGGATCTGCTTCCCAGGAGGAGCAGAACAGTTCACCTTGCTTTTCAGAAGGTGCAAGAATTGCTTGTTCAGGTTTTACCATCCCTGTCGATTTTGGGGGACCAGTTGGTAAAAGACCTTCAAACTGGCAAACCCACTAACGTCCGTCAGGTCCTGGACCAGGTCATGGACAGCATTTCCCTTGTGGCTAATGCCAATTATAAACTTAATATGAAACGACGAGAGCTAATCAAGCCCGACCTCAACCCCACTTTCACCAGGTTATGCAAAGAGGACATCAAGCCCTCTACAAAGCTATTTGGGGATGAATTGTCAAAACATCTAAAGGATATGGCAGACGCAAAGAAAGCGGGCCAGCAGATGCAGAAGACCTCTGACACCCGCACATCCAGCCATAACTATCTAAAGGCTGGGAGGCAGAAATTTCGACCCTCAAATTTCAAACCATACCACCGGACATTTACTGGCCAGAAAACATCTCAGACACGCCCTCTTTTAGGGTACAGCCGGGGACACAAGAGTGCCCCGAAAAAACCCAGCCGATCCAACAACAAAGATTAAACGATAACCAGGTGAGGACACATCCTAAATCATTTATGGATGGGGATTAATTGCATCTAATGGTCCTTATTTTTTCAGCAGGACAGCTGAAGGACCATGTTGGTTCCTGGGAATCTCTGACAAATGAGCAAGTCATACTTGATGCCATAAAGCACAACCATATTGAGTTTGAAGGTAATACCTCTGTCCAACCTCACCCACCTAAACAAATCCACTTCTCACCTGGTGAAAGGGAGATAATAAGTGAAGAAATATCTACACCTCTCCTAAAGGAGTTTTGGAACAAACTGAATATGTAGAGGGGGACTTCCTCTCAACTATATTTGTACGGCCTAAAAAAGATGGCAGCTACAGAATGATTTTAAATCTCAAACCTCTTAATGAATTTGTCTCGTACCACCGTTTCAAAATGGACAGTATTCAAACAGCTCTTAAACTCATGCATCCGGGGTGCTTTATGGCTTCAATTGACCTAAAGGACGCATACTATTCTGTCCCTGTTGCTAAAGAGGACAGGAAATATTTAAACTTTGAGTGATAAGGGAGTTATTATGAACACACATGCCTACCCAATGGCCTCGCTTGTGCCCCCAGGCTGTTCACAAAAATTTTAAAACCTGTTTACTCTCATATCAGATCAATGGGCCATCCTTGCATGGGGCACAAAGATGACTCTTTCTTATTAGGATATGACTACGCTGCTTGTAAGAGGAATGTCCAGGACACGATTGACACATTCCAAAACCTGGGATTCGTAATTCATCCTGTGAAATCAGTTTTTATTCCCACACAAGAAATAGAATTTCTTGGGTTTTTACTTAGCAGTATTCTTATGACATTTAGACTTCCCCCTACCAAAGCTACACGCGTACGTATAACCTCTGTAAATGCATTATTCATGCAATGGAAAGAACATTATTTTTATGCTTTTCCACCTTTCAGCCTGATAGCAACTTGTCTGCAAAAAATAGAACAGGATCAAGCTACTGGTGTAATCTTAGTCCCTTTCTGGCAGACACAACCTTGGTTTACAACGCTCCTTCACCTTTTAATAGACAACCCAGTGTTGCTGCCTCAGCTGGACTATCTCTTGACACAACCTCACAACAATGCTCTACACCCCCTTCGCAAGCAGCTAAAGTTGATAGCTTGCATGGTCTCGGGAAAAGCCTCTAGCAGCGCAACATATCAGAGAAGGCTGCAACAATCATCTTGCAGTCATGGTCAGATGGGACGCAGAAACAATATAAACTGTACATCGAGCAGTGGATTGACTTTTGTTGTGAACGACAGGCTGATCCCTATAACTCACCTTTAATATCAGGATTTCTTGGTCAGCCTCCATGAGAAAAGCTTGAGCTACACTACCATTAACCCTGCTAGTAGTGCCATGTCAGCAATTACCCTTTCTAATGACCAGAAAACTATTGGTTGCCACCCACTTATTTCTAGATTTTTGAAAGGCATTCCTGCTTACTGCCCATATCAAACAGAGCAGGCCAGGCTACAAAGCACCCACAGTTGTTTTGAGAGCATACCCAGCCAATCCATCCCTTTGTGTTGGTACTTGCTTAAAAGAGTATCTTAAGAAAACAAAGCTTCTCAGGGGTATGGAAACTAAACTTTTTTTCAGTTTTACTAAGCCATATAAACGGGTGTCCAGGGAGACTCTTTCTAGGTGGATTCGCACTGTCATGACCTCTGCTGGGGTGGACATAACAATATTTAAGCCACACAGTACACAAGCAGCAGCTACTTCAAAGGCTAAAACAGCCTCTGTTCCAATCCAAGAAATCCTGAAAACTGCTGGGTGGTCATCATTGAGATGTTTTGATAAGTTTTATGACGAACCTGTGGAATCCTCCACATTTGCTTCTGCTTTTCTCAAGACTGCATAGTCCTGAAATTGGACTTGTTGGCAAATGGTTTTTTGTACTACTAGCTTTAACGAAACATCTTCTAGACAGAAACTTTATTTAACATTTATGTTTCTTAACATTACTTTAATGTTACATACACCTGCATATGGTGTTTTAGGTTCCAATTGATACATAGATTGTAATACCTACATCACTCATTGCTCCGTTCCTCGTGCTTTTTATTGTGGGGAAGATACTTATACCCTCAGTTGATATTTGTCATGTAAATCTGTTTGACTTACTACGTTTCAGTTAATAAACTGATTATAGTGATTCATCATTCACTGTTTGTTCCTCATGTGACTGTCTTGGCTTTGAAATCTCATGGGATCCCTGGGGCAGTGATGACGAGATAGAATTGAAAAATTAAACGAGACTTACCTGTAAGTTGAAGTTTGATTGGAATTCTATCGAGTCATCAAACTGCACCAAGGGATCACATGCCCACCCTTGGGCAACAAATCATACTTACAT